CAGCTCTCCCCATCACCACAGCAGCACCGCTGCAGCGAACGCAGGCCACTGGAAAGATCACGGACTTCTTCGGCACCTCATCCAGGCTTCAAGCGCGCAAGGCCACACCCTCAGTGGAACATTGGATTTCACAGCTACGCCTACGCAACCCTCACTCCGTCTGCTATGCCAATGCCAGTGTACAAGCAATTGTCTTTGTCATGGACGCGGCAGCCTGTGTGCCGCAGCCCCTCATGTTTCTGCGGCAACTATTCACTAAGGCGGCCAGCAAATCCAGCGTCTTCAACCTCATCGCCAGTCTTCGCTTCAGAAATCTCACGCCCGCTTGGACGTTTGAAGATCGTCAACAGGACGCGGCTGAGTACACTCAGATGCTGTTACAGGTACCAGACCTCTTGAATGCCACATGGGATTCCAGATACGACACCCCAGACGGTGCTCAGCTTAGAGAAGACCATGGTTTTCCCATCAGAATGCCTATTATCAATAGTGACAGCTTGCAACAGGTCATCTACAAGTGGCACAATGAGTCGGATGTGCAAGCTCTCGTCTCAGACTACACAGTGGTATGCATCCAGCTGGGACGCAACTCATTGGCAGGCAAAATCCTTACGCCAATTCACTTCGCAGATGATGTTCAGCTCCCGGTTTTCTCAGAGGGCATCCATGTCACCTGGAGGACATACCGTGTCATGTCTGCGGTGGTCCACTTAGGTGACCATATGGCATCGGGACACTACAGATCCCTTCTACGAGTTGGGTCCTCATGGTTGTATACGGATGATGGCGTGCACCCATGCAGCACGGAAATGACACAGGAGCACATCATGAACGCATATGTGCTCTGGCTCCAGCTTAGCTAGCTATCGCTGCCCCGGTCCATTCACCCTGCCAGCCGGAGATGACCGAGCCGTCTATGCAGCAGGAGGAGGAAGGCTTCTTTGACAAGTTTTTCCCCTTCGGTCAGGGAAATAATGACGGCAGATCTACTGCGCCCTCCTCTAACGACGGTGAAGCAGGACCGAAGAAGTGGCAGAAGCGGGATGAGTCCAAAGGCAGCGGACCGGGCAAAGGTGGCTACAAACAGTGGTCACAAAACCAAGGTCAGTGGAAAAGAGACAGGGACGCCAGCCGGTGGGACTCTCAAGACGATGGCAAAGCAGAGCTCGAGCAGGAGCTCAAGGAGCTGAAGGAGCAGCTCTTTTTGCTCCAACGCCTCGCCCTGAGGCAGGAGGATCTTTTGGCCGCTGTTAGGCCAGAAATGTGCTTCGTGATGTTTACTCGGATCGATGTTGGGGCATCGATCGTGCCCTCCATTTACACTGCACAGGCAGCGTGGAGAGAGCTGAAAGCCAATGAGCCGGAGAAACTCAA